ATTAAGACTTTTCACTTTGTTCATTCGAACTCAGGAATACATATTATTTCTTATTTAATATTCAGCCGATGAGGAGCCCCATGGCACAAGTGGATAGCGCGTTCGGCTTTGATCGTTGAAGTTAAGCAACTTTCGCAGTGGTCGTTCAATGGATGGATGACCAAAAATTTAGTATCACGAGCTGCTCCGTGCTTCGGAAGGCACGTTAATCCGTTGGTCCCAGCTGCATCTGCGGTCGTAAGTACCCACCAATCCGCACTGGGCCCGCGTGGTGGGTCATGGCCCAATCTCCCTATTGCATTTATAGCGAAAGCCTGTGCCCCAGCAGTGGGGCCATTAATAGGCTGATGATTATGATGATAAATAGTCAACCGATCGAGTCTTTGCCTGAATTCAATCTCTCTAGAATGGTCGATGTGAGACAGAATGTTCTCACATTCAAATCTTTAAATTATTTAGTTTTAAAACAACTGCCAGCCGTAGGCATCACACAAGCAGACAGTTTACACAATTTTTAATCTTATGCTGCTGTTTCTTGCGCTTCTTCACGCGAGACATAGCTTAGTACTAAATGCGATGAAATTAGCATTTGAAATTTGATTCTATCAAAATAAATTATCGGGCTGCGTGTCTATAGACCACGGAGGTTAGAGATAAGGAGAATGATCGCTGTAGAAAATAGTGTCCCAGAAATATTGTCCCAATAATTTGATTATTGATTATTATATGGACAAAATAAGTGAGGCGCTGCGAGTGCTAAATTGTATCAATAAAAGCGAGCCAATTTGAAATGACCAATGCCGAGAAGAAATTTTGTACATTATTCAAAGTTCCAACCGCCAATAAAATATAAACAGAACGCGGTTATCCTATTTGTAGAATAACGGTAATAGGTACCTCATGTGTGACACGTAGCAAGGCCAATTTTGTAGACCCATCCGGAGTAGCATAAGGTAATCTTCAAAGTTCTAAAGCCGGTATGGTGAATTGGAAGGCCACAGATCTTGTAAGACTGGTCGTTAAAAAGAAGAGAGCTAATAAAGCTTTTGTTGCTGTACTAAATTTCGATGAATCTATAGGCCTTGACGTTTTTATTGGGGTTAGGGATTTCGGTGGTATGTAAAATATATATAAGACGAACAGGTTCGAGGTATTATAGAGATCTCATTTCAGATAATTTTTGCTGCTAAGTAATTCTTCACATCGAAATTTTTAATATTCGATGAGCCAAATTATTGATCCAGGACATTTTTATAATCCGAAACATTTTCTTTCATTTTAATGTTATTATACTCGTACATTTACATCACCAACAAACACAACGGTTTCAGTAAGAAACATTAACATACAATTTTAAAACTCTTTTATGATTTTAGAACTTCGCATCGGGTTATAATTTTTTATTATTAAATCTATGAATTCCTTTTAAAATTTATAAATGTCAGTCTTATCGATATACCTTTAACATTTACAAGGAAATATTTCCGGAACTGTCCTTCTACTTTGACATAGATAAATGATTGGTCTCCCTACAATCATTTATCTAAACACTATAAAATACTAAATCTAACTGCCACATTTAACATCATATTGACACATTAATTTTTCAGTATAACGCGTTGAAGTAAACATGAAATGAACTTATGAAAATTTTCGTAGTATGACTTACTACGATTTAAATATTATTAGACGCCTGCTTTTGCTGATAAAGTATTAACCCTTAATTATACGTATGGGGTCAAATCAGTTTCGGGTAAAAAAATGAAGTACTTGCCGCGATCCGAATTTCGCCACGCCCCCGCTAGCTTCCTAACCTAAGTCGAAGTCTCTATTCTAGTTGTGACCAGGTCGCAGGAGTCGAAAAATGAGTCGCTGCGCTCTAGAGTGGTGACCCCGTGCGAGTTGTAGTGTGTCTTCAGTATATGAGAAGAGTGCCAGATAATTGTAAGGGAAAGTTAGACACTTATACATAGTTGTTTCTACGTGACCTAAATTAGTATGGTAGGTCACTGACTGAACATATTATTATATATTCGTTTTTCCCTGGGTCTATCAACGTAATTTTTAGAATCTATCCTATTTTTTGAGGGGTATCACCATCTACTTTATAGACCGGAGTAAGATGATATAACGGAGGAGCTCGAGCTAGTAAGTAGTAGTTTTTGGTAACCCATCCATTCCGAAAGTTGCTTAACTTTCACGATCGCCGGCCGAATGCGCTAACCACCTAAATGACGTCACAGATGAGTGAAATACTGTGTTTTCGTAATTGCTTAATCCTTAAAAAAGTGCATTAAAAGTAAAGATATAACTTATTCGAATTATTTTGAGATACGTACAATAAATATGTACAGACCAATGACAGTATTTATTATTTAATGCGCTTTACTTAATCTGTGGACTCAATTTTAGACACGCTTAAGTTACACTTAGATTGCTCTATAAATTCAACTTATTATTCAGCAGGCAATTTTTACTTCAGTCTACTTCTTCCGCTGTAGCATCAGTAACTTTGCTCTTAAATGATTTTGTTTTTAGAGTATTTAATATCATAGGCAAACAGCCGGCAATTATTGTGAGTGCTGGCAACTCACGTATACACAAATGATGTGCACGCGAAATTCCATTCAAACGGCCTATGTATAGTTTCTATAATGGTCTGCGCTTAGTTTGAAACAATCCAATCTGTTGAAATCATAGACCTAAATATTATAAGGGAGAGCAAAAACGAAGAAATGAAATTAAAGTGCTTTTTGGGCAAATGAATCCGCCGGTGTATTATGGATAGCAGACTTTTTATTCCCAAATTTTCCCCATACATGAAGATGAGACGATTTTTTTACCCCAGAATGTGTCAAAAACGTGACACAACTGTCTAGAGCTTGTTGAATAATATATAAATATATTACAATTGTTACGGGGCCTATTTCATTATTGAAACTAATTAAGAATGTGAAATTTTAGTATATGATGTTCCATATGCTGTATGTAAACAACAAATACTGAAAACGCTGATTTGACAAGAACCCAGTACTTGCCAGTCGTTATTAATATTAATGTGGCTCCAAACACAACTCCTAAGTTCAGAACAGATTAGGAGCTACATAAGGGAACTCGGCAACTACCAACTGCCCTACTCTCTCGCGACTCCAAAGTGTATAGACCAGAACATTCAACACCGCATTAGGTTTAATCCACGTAACTACCCAGCGACAGGATTCCTCTAGCAAACATCCTTTTGGCCCCTACAAATTGGCCAGCTAAATCAACCTACATGGACTCCAGAAAGGACTGATGAAGCAAGCCCAGCCTGCGTGCCCGTTTATCGATGAGCAAGGCAGAAGTAAGAAATACGCCGCAATCGATCGGGCCAATATCTTTGCAGAATATCTCCAGGTCCAGTTCTTACTCAGGAACCCAGGAATCTGCCGACCACCACCAGATAGTCGAAGATAAAGCTTGAGCATTTTTGAGCTTGCCTTCCAGCTCCATGGGGAGTACTTCATTTCCCCTTACGAGGTGCACAGAGCAACTGCCCGCCTAAACCCAAGAAGGGCACCCAGCCCGGACAACTTGCCCACAACTACCCTAGCCGAGCTCCCACGAAGAGATAAAACCGCATGAGCCCAAATATTTAACACGGCATTGAGACCCAATTATTTCCCGGCCGCCTGGATGAATGGTTGAGTTATCATAATTCCCAAGTCGGGTAAAGATCGCAGATGACCGGGTAACTACCGCCCGATCACATGACTGGACTACGTCGCAAAGCTATTTAAGCTCTTATTGTTGCGACGGCTGCAACCACAAATCATGCAGATTAAGTTCCACCTTCTTACCACGAGACAGCTGAGAAACCTACAACAAATTTGTTTTTGCAGACAAGCATACTACCACCCGTTTCTATGGTTTTCTTATGCCAGTCCAGCTTAAATGCGTCTATTACAAACTATTGTTAACTCTGTGGTGATACATATTCTGTTATTTAGGTCAGATGGAATAATGACTAAAATGTTCCGTGTTTATTTAAGGGGCAGGCGAGATTTAATTTCTTGCTTTTTTGGTTATTAAATATGGAATTATTAAATCTTAATGAATTAGCACTACAGGAAATTTAAATTAATATTATTTTTACGAGAACGGATAAGTTAAGTTAATTATTTTAACAAAGTTATTTGAAATTAAGAATGAATTAGATAAAGTAATATGTCACTCAATTTTCTTTGCACATAAATAAATTCACATCGTCAACGGGTATGCCTGTTTCGAAAGAAATGCAATATAACTGCTTGAATTGAATATAACTTATGAAACTTGAATTCAATATAACTTATATTGCTTATTTGGAAAATATTTTAGTTTTACATCTAGTTCAGGGGCATGCCCAACAACCACAAAATTGTCATCGTCGACGTTTGTGGGACAATATTATATTACTAGACACAACAAAATAGAAAATACTCGTAATATCATGGTCTCGCATCGTCGGTCATTTGACATCATGTTATCATAAATATTATTTACTGCTTCACTAATACCTATCTTAAGGCCCGAAACTATAATGTGTGTTGTAGTTTCGGGCCTTATTATACTCGTACACATTTATTTGATTGTATTCATTCAATAGGCATTCTCACAAATTGTGTAATTCCCTTTAACTTCATATGATAAATAGAACAACTGGGTTACACATCAACGTTCATCTTGACATTGAAACTAAATACTACACAAGTACAAACAAAACTAATTGTCTTGCGCTCCGACAAATTATTCACCGCATTTACACACCAGTTCGTCAATGAGCATCAAGCGTATAACGGTTTTGATAAGGCGTTTGAGTCTGTCTTTAATAATTAGTAGCAAATGTTATACACCATAATTAGAAAACAAACCAAGTTGTTGCTTTCCTGTGTGTTTCATATATAAATAGTGTGGTTCTTGTTTTTAATGCTTGATTAAAATAAACTGATTTGACCCCTTTTTGATGATACCACCAGAAAGTTAATTAGATACTCAGCTATACTTATCTTATTTTCCGATTAAGTGATATATTAAAATAATATGATTTGCAAACTTACGTGAAAAAATATGAAAACTAAATTGAATGAAATCGCAGTGATATTAATATGTGGAATATTTATAATAAAGGAAGTACTCACTAAAGATTTGAGTGAAGAGGAAAGAGCCTTAAGAGCCGCTTTTGTTCAAAAATTATTGAATAAACAAAAATATTTAGAAGGCAAAATAAGATTAGTCGGAGGGTCAAACGACTTTGAAGGTATGTAAAGCTTTAATATTCGTTGCTGTCAAATGGAAAACCACGATCAATTAAACCTGAATCCCTATTGTAAATCGAAGCCTTCAGGTAGGAAGGAACCAAGAGGGAGAATTAAGCGAATTAATTATTCCGTTAGTTAAAAGATTACGAATTCACTCCAACAAAATTTATGGATTGTTGTTTCTCCAATTATATCAAAGGATTATTATTATTCCTCTATACATAAAACTTTACAAACTTTTTTTTACTTAGTTTCAATTAATGTTCTGGTAAGCGTTAAATATTTCTTAAACTGTTTATTTTTTGCGAATATTTTGGAATTATTTAATTAAATGAAAATCTAGGCTGGCTACGGTATTCAAAATCATTTCCATTCTGTTGGTGCCATTAATAATCAAGATTGTTAAACTGCTTTTCGATTTTTATAAATTACGTAAATCGAAACACAAGCTTTATATTATAACGACTGATCATAAAATCTGTTTTTCATAACCTTTGAAAAGATTAGTTTTTTTTTTCATGTAGTAAAAAGATAATCATTTATTTTTACCGAGGACGTCGTAACAATTTATTGGAAAAAAAGCTAAAAAAATCCCCTACAAATATTTTTAACTAAAATTAGGATTGTTTGATTTGGTTTACGTCATTTCAAGTTACATTTACGGTCAATGATTTTGGATCTGTCTGTTTGTAGCGTAATTAATACACACAGGGTATATAAAATTACAGGACAGCTTAAAAATGTGATATTTTGTATTAAAAGCACAACTTATTGACGATAAGTACAAAAATGCATCTCTCAACTAATTTATAACGGAATTTGAAAATATTGATAAAGTAGGTACTAGGTAGTTGGTGTCAACTTGTTTGATCAACTTATAATTAAAGCGACTTGGTGATGAAACTTTTCGTGTATTAAAATTTAACTCTTCGAAATGGAATGGACTTTTGACGAAACTTTATTACAATTTTACTTCATACCATTTCACTACCTGACCCTTAGTATAACATGGCTCATAAAACGTGTTTATAATATTTGAAAAGTTTGTTTTCGCCACAGCCAAAGTCATGATGTGAGATGGCAAAGGAAAAATATAAACTTACATTAGCCATAATCATATTGATATTAAAAATTCTATATTGCCACAAATTAAACATGCAAATTAAAAAAAAAACAGAACAAGGCAAAAAAGTACTTACAACTAAATTATGTCTTAAATAATTGAGTATTTGGCCATGACCTGGGTGGTAATTATATGGTATGGCAAAAGGCACCAGTCTCAGCAAAAAAGCTAAATGAGTCCATAATCAATAAGAAATTACTCTATGTACCTCGTATTAAGTATGACCGGAGTATTTAAAGAAAATAGGTAATATAAATTTCAATACTAAGAAAACTCTTATGTTATGCTTGCCGCGGTAAAAAATTCATCTTCCTTCTCCATCCCCCTCTTCAGGCCACAACGCATATTGCTCGTGCTAAGTGCCTTTTTGATGTATTAAATAGGTTACAACGTTGCACGACCCGCATCATCGGTGATTTAGTGATGAACGCTCTGATATTGCGTTATTGAGCTTTCCATTGACTCCACCATGGATTAGGTACAAAGATACAACAGCGAGTATAAGGATTAACCAAACCAATATACAAAAGTAATCAACGGCTGTACAGTATTTTGTCTTCTGTAAATTGGGCCACTTCCTCAGACAAGATCTCCGCTGAGCTCGACCACTCCAGATTCAGGTTGTAAACGTTGCGTTCCTTAAAATATGGTTGAGCGAAGCGAAATAAGCGATGGCTGGTTTATGCATCATGCTCGTGAACGGTTGCTGCCAGCGGAGATGAGTGTGCACTTGCGACATTGGGTACTATGTATTAATCGTTGTATTTAACTTTAATCGTACATTTTTTTTATGTCTAAACACGGCATTTCTAAACTTTCTTCAATCGGTTTTTTTCTTTTTTCTTTTTTATAGTCATAATTTTTATATCGTTTACATTTGTAATGGAATATGACTTCATGAGTAACCTCATATTGAAGTCATTTATAAATTTGACGACTCTGTATTTAATATAGGGTGAAAAAACAGCCCTTGCTGAGTTTCTTGCCGGTTCTTCTCAGTACAAGGTCTGCTGCCGTAGATTTGCGAACCGATGACGTAGCATTTCGACATTCACAAGTGCTTGTAACAGAATATTTGAATACTCGTTTTTAGGCAACGTTTATATCTACCATGCGGGCCGTTGGGGAGCCGTATGCGATGATTCTTGGGACAATGCCGCCGCTCAAGTTGTATGCAAAGCTTTCAATAAGACAGGTGTTGCCACGCATGGTGGGAAGTATGGAAAAACAACAAGTAAGAGTATTGCATGCACTTATATTCATCATAATCCTTAGTTATCTTTAATATATCTCGACCTCTAAAAGCAGATACTTATTTCAAGCTGGCTTAGTGCGAATTGATATATGTGTTAATGACTGCAGATGCAACCAATTCTAATGCTCTACTAATCCAACTTTACAAGGCATATATATCATTTTGTGGATTACTAAGGTGTCATTATAACTGAAATTTTAAACTTTTATTTAAACTTCACAACAGATTTATTTCATAAAACAGTTTTCCTCAGGAAAATTCTGGATGGACGACGTAGTCTGTCAAGGCGATGAAAAATCTTTGTCCCATTGCGTATTTACTGGTTGGGGATTCTCTGATTGTGAGCCAAGTGAAGTAGCAGGAGCTATATGCTCCGATAGTAACAATGAAAAACTTGATGTTTTGTCTAATTTAGAAAAAAAGAAACGCATACATGAGGTTTTGGACGTAAAGAGTGTTTCTTTAAGGCTGGAAGGAAGCAAGACCCCAAATGAAGGAAGAGTTGAGGTAAGTTTATATTTTATTTATATTATAGTTTGCAAGTAATAAGGCCAGATGACAGGCATGAGAAAAAGGAAGCAATGAACCTGACTCTGCCAGGAGAAAAAGATCTTAGAAAATTAAACTTTGTAAAAATTATAAGGTAAAGAATGAAGTAAGGCAGGTATAATGTACTTATATTGCAAAAGATCATATAAGAATCAGATACAATAACAACAACAAAAAATACATTTTACCATTTGTTTGCATCATAGCCTCTGTTTGTGATAACTCGTATTAGGATAAAATACAAAGTATCTAATAATATATAAATTCAAGGAGAACAACAAATAAGCCTTATGCTGGACATACATTTGAGAGCTCATAAATCGAAAGTATGTCTGGCTTAAATCCAAAAGAGAAAATTGATAAAAGCATTAAGACGCTGTTTTAATTTGCTAAAGAGGGTACTGGGGTAGTAGTAAAGTGACCCTTAGCGATCACTTAAGCTAACTTTACAGTTAAGCAATCTATATATATATAAATGTTATGTTGGTTTATGTACGCTTCAAAAACTCAAAAAGTTCTGCACCGATTGAGTTGAAATTTTAACATGATATAAAATCCGCATCAAGGATTGTTTTTATCTATTATTTGCATCAGTCACATATCTGCGACCGCGAGAAAACAGTTTTTTTAACGATCAGCTGTGTACCACCGACCGCGCCATCTGCCAGAAGCGTGGAAAACACTCGCTGACAACCGCAATAGTAATGACGCAGTCACATGAGAAACAATTTCGTTCCTAGTTACATTGCTTATTTACAAAAAAATTGCATCTGATTCTGATACTAATTAAATATTCACTTAAATCAAGAATTTTTGGTGTGATAGTGTTGTGATCGAACTGCGCCTTTCACCAAATCGTAAGTAGAGGTTATATTTTATATCAAAGATGGACAGTAATAATATTATTTTTTTGCAATTATTATTTATTTAATAATAATTAATTAAATAAATAAGTAAAATATTAGTTAAATAATTAATCAATAACAAAACATATTTATTATTGAAGTGAATCTTTTCTATCGACGTATGAGAGTAATTTTATAGCAATGTTTGTTTCTATAATTCAATAGTGACGTAAAAGATAATAATATTTAAATAATAAACTGACAGGCAAAATAAAAGGACTTATTATAGTTCAAGTGGATTTCTAACAGAAGTGAGTGGTTATATCTTTTTTATTACATCTAACACGTGGACGTAATTATTGTATTTCTTTTGGATTAACCTCACTTTTTGTTTATAGGTATCAGTTAATGTATATAAATATAATTACATTAAAACTAGCAATTATTAATTAATACGTATGTCAATATAGTAAACATCAAATAATTTCAATAATAAAAAATCAAATAAAATAACAATTAAATGTAAAACAGTTCACAGTTAGAAAATGAAAACATGAAGACGTGCATTTTTTTAAATTATTTATTTTTAATAATTTTCTTATAAACTCTGCAACGGCACGCGACTTGCAGTTAAGAAATTAATGAATAACGTAGTGGAAGCAACGATTTTAACGGGGCCTTTCAAAGGTGAAGATGTCCTCATTCCTCGAATACCCATGATCACGAGCGATACACCATTTCAATTTAAAAGATTGCAATTCCCAATTCGATTGTCATTTGCAATCACAAGCAATAAAGCTCAAGGTCAATCTTTAGAATTGTGTGGTTTAGATTTAGATGCGGATTGCTTTTCACATGGACAACTGTATGTTGCGTGTTCCCGAGTCGGCAAACCAGATAGTCTTTATATCTACGCAGACAGTGGAAAAACAAAAAATATTGTATATCCACGAGTATTGCAAAATTAAACTTATATGAAATGTATTCTTTGTTTTGTTTCTCATTTCTCAACCATTCAATCACAATGTGCCACTGCGAAGCGTGGCAGGGTACAGCTAGTAAACTATAAAATTATATGCCGCAAACTTGTTTATACCGTAAATAACCCAATGTTAATTGGATTGAATTCAGGAAATATTATAAAATATTCAAAAAACTATGTATTACAACGAAAAAAAACTTTATTGCAGACAAAATCAATGTCTCAAAAAATAAAGTGACAACATATGGAATGTAATAAACCAAGAAACAGGGAAAACAAAAAATAACTCATACATTCATTCGCTAAAGGTAAATGACAAAGTCATTGAATCTGATAACGCGGTAGCTTTTTTTCTTTTTTTTTATAGATTGTTCCGACAAATGACTCCACCCCACCTGATGTTAAGTGAAGGTAAAGTCCAGACGCGAAGATAGCTGATACAGCAGTTCTACCTGCCATCCTCAGCCTGCCGGCCTCCATATTGCTTCTTCACGCCTCTTTAAAAGGATCCCAGGTTGTAAGAGGGAAGGAACACGTGAGCGGGCAGAACATTCCATTTACGGATAGTGTGACAAAGAAATGAGTCACCAAATTTCTTTGTACGCGTTGGAATTGTGGCCACAATAGGACGGTGACAACGTAGGCTAGCGCGCGTGGTCCTCTGAAGGAAAGGGGAAGGTGGGATAAGAGAGAATAACTCTTCAGAACACTCGCCGTGGTACAGACGATAGAACGCGCTTAGTGACGCCATGTCACGGCGTAATTGAAGAGGCTCAAGGTGTTTAGTCACCTCCTCATCGCCTATGATGCGGATCGCGCGCCGCTATTGTATAGCTATAACCTATAACCTATTTTATTGTATAGCTTGAGTATTTGAAGACTTTTTCCACTGAATACCTATAAATACTTGCCGTCCTAGAGTTAAGTGTAAACAAGATTAACGAATCTTTTCATTTTATACATATTAATTCTGAGACTATCCTCAAAACTATTAAATCATGTGATAATAAGAAAACATAGGATCTGTGGGAAATCATAAATAATATTTTCAAACCAATAAAGGACAATGGCGAACTCCCATACAAATTTTTGTTGATTTTTTTTGCATCTTTAAATGAATTAGATGTTAAATGTATCCCTCGCTTGGCTCTCATATTTATATAATTGCATTGAAGAAGGGGTCTTTCCAAATCTAATGAAAAGTGTCAATAAATTCCACTATTAAAATCTGGAGATAAAAGTGACGTGAGGTTAGTCTACTTTGGTTATTTTCATAGTGTGATGTCTTATGGCCTGTTGTAAAGGGGGTCAGCTACTACAATAGAAAGTATTTTCCAAACCCAGGGGATACCCTTAGGGATAAATTTAAATAAATTAACATTTAATGTTTAAACGCGAAACAGAACATTTATTAAAATATAATTTATGTACATAAAAAATATAGCAATTTTATAAAGAAAAGCGATATCCATCAATTATCTTTTTGCTCATTGAACTATGTAAAACATAATTAATGTATTTAATTTAATGTATTGGTAACGACATGATTTTATGTAAATGTTGTAATCAATGCTTATAAGTTTCTTACGCCCATTCTTCTTATCAGTTAAAAGATGTACTAAATACCCATTAAGGTGTTACCCCGGTAAGGAAAAAGATTGGACGATTCAAAAGACCTTTCTATAAGTCAATTTGAATAAAGTATCATTTCATTTCATAATGATTAGACAATTGATGTAAACTAATTTCATTTATTTATTGCGTTATAACATTAATTTAAGCAGCACTTGTCTATGCCAACCGACCTAGAGTGTTATTTTCTAATACCGCATATGTATAAAAGTTTTTTTATATGATTTTGATTATATATAGAATGTAAACAGTAAGGAAATTTAAGTAATAATTCACCATTCTTTTTCTAACACTCTGAAAGACCTGCTGATAGTGAAGTGCTTCGGTCTAAACAAAGGCAACATCTTAGTATATCCTCGTGTGGCACCCATATTTTATCCTGACTTCAAATGGGAATTTTAAATTAAGCTTCATAGGCTTAACTTATCGTTTTAATAGTGGATAAGCAATTTTTTTACTCTTAATATAATTAATTTTAAAAAAGTTTTTTTTTTTGTTGCTCTGTGTATAGTCGTCGCCAGTTCGTAGGTAACATTCAAAGATGGATATTACCTACGAACTGGTGACAACATAAATACTTCTGTTAACACCATTGATTTTTTGATAAATTTAACAGGCAAATATACCTAGGCATAAATAACAAAATATATCCATCCTGTAAGCTGGAAGCAACAGCGACCAGTACCCCTAGCACGAACCGAAATCGAATTCGTAACGTTTGCGAGTCCGATATGTCATTGTCAAATGTGTACTGATTTTTAGTTCCCGTTATGTCCAAAGTGGCGCTGCTGTTCAAGTTTCCATACAAAATTTGACATTGACATTTCGGTTTGCAAACTATTCGAATTCGATAATGGTTCGTGCTAGGGGTACTGTCACGATTCACGATTACTCTCGATACAAATAATTACAAAACTCAAAAAAGTCTTCAAATAATATTTAGTATCCCCTTCGGCCGTCTACGAAACCGTAGTTTATCTTCTCTCCTTTTTCCTCCTCCTCCTTCTCTTTTTAGAAAATCATTGTTTGCCCCATACAGATTTACCACAACGGAACTTGGGGCAGCATATGCGCTGATGGCTGGACTCTCTACGAAGCTTCTGTGATTTGCAGACACCTAGCACTAGGTTTTGCGCAGCAAGCTCTACAGACAGATTACTTCGGTACATCAAAAGTCGTGATGAGTGGAGTAGAGTGTTCAGCAAACGAGAGTAACCTGTTCTTGTGTGCTCATGAAGATTTCGGAGATGTCACATGTCCTGGGGAGAAAGGTAATTACCACAAAATATTCTATTAGCCTTGGTAAATATAAACGTCATTTTGAAAATCAAGAAAACATTGCTTAAATAGACTAAAATCGTATGACTTTTGAAGCCCGATTACTACGATTACCGATTATCCATCCAGAGGTGAAAGCAAGAATAATTTATTTGGAGACTCGGAGCTGAAAAGCTGTTACACCAAAGTTATGTTTTTGAAGTGTAAACTTCTTTAGCGGCGTGGTACACTTTTTTTGTAATGGGTAAAATCTGTTAAACTCGCGTCATGACATGGCCTGATCGCATCAGGACACCTGACGTAAGACGAAAACAATAAAATTGGAAAGGTTTTTGACTTTCAATATATTGGACGACTCATAGTTATATTTTATTTTATCGTATTATAATAATATGTCTGTATCTAGGACGTCCAGGTGGCAGCGTTATTGCGAAGAAAATGCATTTTTTTACAATAGATGTCGCTAGGTGCGCATAAATGAGAAATTCTGAGAGATAAACTTTTTAATGTAATATAAATTGTCATGTTTATGTACGATAGCGCAATAAATAAATATTGTATCCTACCACATAAATGATAGTACTTTTATACTGATAAATTAAAGAAATTTGTGAAAAATTATTCCCTAACCATTCCAAAATATCAAAAATACACAACGTTAATATTCAAGTTTTCACTTCTGCCGGCACTACCGGAGTGCAAACCGTCGTTTTTTTTTTAACAAAAGTCAAAATGTTGTTATTTTTTTAACAATTGACAAACATAAACCATGATCCGCTGAAATTTGTTATTGTTGCATATGTACATTTGTGGGTTATTATTATAATTTCAGTCATTCAAAAATTATTATTGCCAAAAATCTATACTTATCAAAAAAAAGTTTTGGTTCCAATGTTTTTCAATAAGGAAATTATTTCTATTACGAAGTTGGGTCTATAGTAAAAGTATAATTGAAAGGTCCTGGAAACCGAACCAAGACCGAACTTAGCGAAACTTATCTGTAATGTGTTTGGACGTACAGAGGGTAGATAAAAGTGATCAAAATAAACAGAAAATATAGAGGTCCACTTGCAGCAATTTTGCTAAGTCTCAATTTAACTAAAACTAGATTTATTCCTTAGAAAAGTGTCAAAACTACGTGAGTAATAATTTTCAAAAACTATTTTTTTTTGTTTTTAGCCCACAATTTGATCAGCCCATCTTAGTATAATATCACTACTTTTTGGTTGTGTTGTCGTTCTGTCGGTGAGTAATATTCCAGGGTTCAAGGGGATCAAGTTAAGGTAAGCAACGGCGCAAGTGATATTTTTGGTATCGCACGCAAGCGTCTCTACATATAGTTTAATGTAATGTTTAAGTGGCTATGGTGGCCGAACACAGTAGGTCGGTTATCACCCTTTTAACATAAAGAAACAACGTTTCCATCGTGACAGGTCGCGTCGCTGCTGTAGTTTGCACGCGGAGGCTAGCCGATTTGCTACTGGACAGTACAGTGATCGAGAGGACGTCACACCTTCAAGATGTGCCAATGTTCCAACTGCAATGCGCTATGGAGGAAAATTGTCTCAGCAAAACTGCGTACGAGGTAGCTAAAACTTTTTTATAAAGTGTTCTAGGTCAAATGCCACCAAGAAGTCGTAAATGGGGTGTAATATATATTTATTTCAACTCAATTGCACAAATGTTCAAATAACGGATTCTATCTTATTTATTCTATCCTAGTCAACCGGATAATTGTAATTGTAGCTAATGCCTTGATCACACTTATCCAATAAACGGGCGAGACAGTAAAATGTTTCTCGAGATCGAGACAGCGATGGAAGTTCTCATGTAAGCGAGCGCTCGGCCGAGCACTCTGCGCTATAATTATATGTTCCGAGTACTCGGCTGAGAGCACTGTCTCGCTCGTTTGCTCGGTACGTGTGATCAAGGCATAAGTCTTAGAAGGTGGTGCAAAATAGAAAATTAATTCATGTAATTCACATTTAAAAAATATTAAATTACATATACCTACACTCAACACAATTATATAAATCTATTTACATATATAAACTACATAAATAATAATACATACATACAAATCTATATTATTTTAAGAGGAAACAGCGAAGGAATCCTGGAGTTTTTACGTACCAAATACTTGAAGGACAGTTTGTTTGGCGTTTGGGGCAACCTGAATATGAGGAGGGAGTGAATTCCAGAGTCGTATAGCTTGAAGAGAAAAAGAGTTTGAAACAAAACCAGTACGGTGAGAGGGAATAGCGAGTGTTTGTTTGCTGTCCGACCGAAAATAAAGATTATGAATACTACTAAGATATCGAAACTTAGATTTCAAATACCCAGGAGAATACGGATCTATAATGATTGGAAAAACATGGAAAGTATTATAAGATTTCGACGTTGGCGAATATTTAGCCACTTTAACTTAAATAAGGGCCAGAGTCTTTGTCAAGACGAATCAAGAACCCATGTCCACCTTCCGTCTCTATCATTAGGTTATTTCTATTTCATAATATTTCTTGGTTACTTTTTTAAGTGCCAGCAAAATTTTAGCTCGATCGGCAACTGAGAAGGAAAATTTTAATTTAACTTTTACAGACAGACAGACACGGGGACAGAAACTAAGTAAAATTAAAGCTTGGCTGTCTAACAAGATCTCACTCTATATGGTACAATTTTGATCTTTGTAAATATATGGCGGACACATTATTTCATTTGATTGATTTCTTAAAGAAACCCTCAATCACATTGTGCAAAGAAGCATTAATGTTTATAAAATTCCGTCCTTCTTAAATTAAATTATAATTTCCTACTGTCAAAAAGTTTCTCTAAAACATTACCAAAGTTTTGATTTGAAAGTTTAAATCGAAATAGAAGACATACCTACCTAGAAGGCGGTCCGGTAGAACAAACAACATCTATTTATTCTAACAAAGTTTTAAGATTCGCCCGAAATACTTGTCATATTTTAATGTTGGTGTAATAAGCTATGTCAAAACAGAAATTTAAATTGCATATTATGGTAAAACACTCGAAAAACTTTGTAAATGCCTATAGAATCCAACTTATTTCTAAAATTCGTAAGCTACTCCGTGTCTGTCTGTATGTCCGTCTGTCTATTTGTTACTCGTAGGTACTTAGTCTAGGATATAGGCTGCCACACCGACTTTGGCAAACTTTTGTATAGAGATAAAGGGAACCTCAGCAAAGAATATTAATGTTATTTTTGTCGCAGAATGACGACTTAATAAAATATGTAAAAAGGCTCATAAAAAATTGTATGGAAGATCTATATTTTCGCAAAGAGGTAGTAATTATAACCCGGATTAAGATATAATTTTGATACCCAATACCATAATAGCGTTTTTTCCAGAATAAAATGGAACGCTGGAAAAATGTCAGGATATATTCTGTCCACGGGTCAGATTATCTGTAATTTTTATTTCCCATCAAAGTTTTAAGGGATTATTTGTAAATTAAAAAGTCTTGGCGAACGGATTTGATGGCAAAGTCAAATAAATTCGATAAATATTAAAAAGACCTTGACTAGTGGCCACCCGTAATTTCGCCCGCGCTAACTTTCTTTTTTTTTGAGAATCCTACAGGAACCTGTAAATAAAGTCATGGCTATTGATATAGATTTCTATAAAAACTATCCGTTACTCAAGTTTCCCAATTCACAAGCATTGCAGTGTTTACTTTGGAGTCAGTTTAACAGGGATGATGAGGGGGTTAAGTAAACTAAATTCTTTTTAGTCTTTTATTCTCTCTTATTTAGTAGTGACACATAGATTACTTAATAGTTACTTTTATACGTAGCAGTGAGGTATCAAAAAATAAAAAACAGTTATTTTTTTCTTTTGTCGATCAACCAAAAAATGGCAAAGATTGAGTGCATCAAAGTTTAGGAGTGGCGCTCGTGACGTCACTTCTTAGTAAAAGTTGTACCAAGTTGTAACGTCAGGCTATATTTCAAATCAACATATACTCGTATCTCTGTAATGTTTAGATTGTGTGAATAAAGAAAAAAATATGTGCCCAATAAATTTTATTAATCTACCTGATGAAATGAGGAAAGACATTGAGTCATCACTCCCTATTGGTGTGAGTGATACATTTATTTTTATTTATTTAGATAAAGGAAAAGAACCCAGACTGGCAGTACGAGACACGACGGTTGCTCCGCTTCACGGCTTCCTCTTTGAATGTTGGCAACGATGAGTTCAGACCATACCTTCCGAAGCATCTTTGGCAATGGCATTTGTGCCACATGTGAGTACAACCCGCCGACTGTAGCCTATTGATGTTTTCGCTGCTGGGGCACAGGCCTTCTTTATAGATGGAATGACGAGATTGGACCATAACCCACCACGCGGGCCCATTGTGGATTAGTAGGTGCTAACGACTGCAGATCCAGCCAAGACCAACGGCTTAACGTGCTTTCCGAAACAAGGAGGAGAACGAGATAGTAAACTTTTGGACACCCATCCACACTATTGCTTAACTGCCACGATCGCTGACTCAACGCGCCGGCCACTCCGCCATCAATTATTTGTGTACGCTACTTTATTAAAGTCTCTAGGAATAACCACAAATAAAAGTTCAAAAAGCTACTACTAAAAAAGCTTATTAATAGAGCATATTATAAGGTATCTGATTATATTTCAGAAAACAATGCTGGGGTTTAAACTGGCCCAAACGTTCTGACAGGCTGTTCACAAGCTTATTTTCAATTTGATTGTATCATTATCACCCTCGGAGGCATCAATTATTCTATCATTTACCGCTTCGTTAAATAACATGGGCTTTTAATCTTGTTTCTTCTTAATTAATTTAAGGAGTTAAATCGTAATTTTGTATTTTCATTTTATTATTGCTTGTTTTTTTTTCTCTTTAATTAAAGGACTTTGATTTTTACTAGTTAACTCACAATAGGAGTAGGTCTTTAACAACAACAAAATTAAGTTTCCATCCTAAAAAACACAACTTTTTCAACTGCGTACGTATAATATGCATGTATATAATAATACAAGATTTAGGTATTATTATAGACGTGCATAGGGCCAGCGTTTACATCAGTTCCGCGATAAATACGAATAAAATTATATCAAAAACAAGTATTTCTTCGTAACTTGCATTCAAGTCGATAGACCCTACCACGATACACCAGGACTATAAAAGTGAAGAGAAAATACAAGTGCAAAGTGCTAAAATATTGTAAAACTCGAACTTAACCTATTATAACGGACAGAGTGACGTTTGAACAAATGCTTGCAAAAATAGAAACTTAATAAAAAGAACTTGATCAGTGCACCGTGCAAGACCAAATCATATTATATCAGTGCTTTTCAAGAGTTTTTAAAACATTTCAAATCAATTATCTCAATAATTTAAAAGTCATCATTCACAAAACCAACGCCATCTACTGACGAATAGCAGGAACACACTTACACTCGTCAATCAACTAGTCACTTATACTACTCGTCACTAGATGGCGTAAAAGGTAAAAGTCGAGTACAAAATTACCATATAGAATAGATTTCGCCACTAGACACTAGAGGGCACTGTAAACAATCATCTTTTGGGAGCCTGGATATTCAAATTTAAAACATGGAGGAAGTTATTTCTGCACTTCGCCAGATTCAGAAGGACTTAGACGAACAAAAAATTGCCATTGCTAACAACGTCGACAGGGTGACTGAGAAGGTAACTGAAAAAATTAACAACCTATTCGAAAAAAAGTTTACAACCTGGGAAGAAAATCAGGAAAAGCTTAAGGTAAAAATAGAAAACCAGGATGAAAGGTTACTTAGAGAAACAGATAAGGCAGCGAAATGTCGTCTTTTTTGTTATTGAAGAAGGTGAAAACTCATATTCTCACCTGGAGAATAACATAATTGCTTTCATAAACAAGCATTTCTCAATAAATCTAAGTAGCAATGACATACAAGAAGCTAGGAGATTAGGCAAGAAATCCGGGAAACCCGCCCTATCATAGTTACGTTCACCACCTTGGGTAAAAAAAATATGATTATGAAACTAAAGAAAAATTTAAATGACACCGACTACTATATAAAAGAAGACTACCCAAAATATATCCTAGAAAAAAGAAAATTGCTCCAGGAACAAGTGGAAATCGAGAAAGAGAAAGGGAATAAAGCAGTCTTAAAGTACGACAAATTGGTAATATTAAAAAACAAAACAGAAACAGATGCAACTGATAACAGAAAGAGAAACCTCTCTACTTCGCCACAACCAAACATGGACACCGAAAAAAATACTGCACGTACTACTACCCAAGTTGCCAAGAAAAACAAAATTCTATCGGCCTCAACCACCACTCCACAGCGATCTCTGAGTTTTTCAGAAGGGGTCGTCAAACCAGGTTTACTAACTTAGTTGAAAATAGCGGCAATACTAAATGACAAGTTACGGAACCTCTCTCACATATAAATAATGAATCAATTATAAAAAGCAATAAATCACATCTTCCAAGCCGGCTGGTCCCCGAGGAAGATTACGACCGAAACCTTCCAAAGAAAAATACATCGATACCCCATCAACCAGAGAAACTATATACACTCTTCATCTTGACTTACAATGTTAGAACATTATTATCACATGAACGGTTAATTGAACTGACAGACGCTTTAAAGAACGTAAAATATGATATTATTGGCATATCCGAAGCGCGCCGCTTAGGAAACGAAATAGCAGAATACAAAAATTGTATTCTATGCCACACCGGTAATACACCTGGCAAATATGGAGTTGGATTCATAATAAAAAAATATCTGAAACAATACTTAGATAGCTACATCGGCATCTCGGAGCGAGTAGCGTTACTTCAGTTGGATTTTCCGGATAAAAATCTGACTATCATACAAGCCTATGCACCCACCGAGGCGGCCAATGAAGAGGAGATCACAGCTTTCTACGACTCTATCTACAAAGCCTTAGGGCTAGCTTACAAGGATTATATTGTAATGGGTGACTTTAATGCTAAAATAGGACATCCACAAAAGGATGAACACCTAGTTTCAAAACAAAAATACGGAGAAAGAAATACCAGAGGTTAGAAGCTTGTAGACTTTGCCATAGAGAATAAATTATCAATCATGAATACCTTTTTTAAGAAAACCCCAGAAAGAAGCTGGACATGGCGCTCCCCCAACGGACTCTACAAGAATGAAATAGATTTCATATTGTCTAATCGACCAAAAATATTCCAAAATGTTGAAACACTGAGTATTAACTTTCCATCAGACCACAGACCACTTAGAGCAAAATTTGTACTCACTAACCCACTAAAAAGTAGAGCAAGGTATAATAATAACCAATGCAATACACTGAAAGGCGAGGAAGAAATAATCCTATATAAAGGGCATTAAAAAATCATCTACCAAACCTACACAGTCCAAGTCAAAAATTGACAGTACGGGAGTATTACGACGGGATAATAAGCTCTATCCAAACAAGTTTACGAAATTCATGCCAAACAAAGCATAAAATCAAAACCCCTACTGTACTATCAGAACGCACAAAAAATCTTATTAAAAGAAGACAGACACTGCAAAGAACTAGCAATAAAACTAGATCGATGAAAAATGAACTTAAAGCTCTTTACAAACTTATAAGCAAATATATAAGAACAGACTATAAAAAACACAGATTGACTGTCCTCAAACAGCATCTCGAAACAAAAGGAAGTATAAAAAAGGGATTCAAAGAACTTCAAACTAAGAAAACGTGGATCGAAAGCTTGAAAAGCTCGGGTGAGACTAAATTCAGTCGAAGCGAAATTATAAATATTGCAACGAAATTCTACAAAAACTTATATAGGGCTCCAGGCAATTTCAGTACTTATAGCTACCAATCGGACGCTTATTCAAGATCTGCTTGTCATATAAAACCCATTGAGTGTGATGAAATTGTAGAGATTATAAAAAAAACTAAAACCTGACAAAAGTCCGGGGTCCGATAACATTACAAATTATGCCATAAAACATGCCCAGGCCGAATTGGCCCAGCCTATAGCAACGCTGTTCAATATGATAATAGAAACCTTAGTGACACCTACACAATGGTCAAAATCCGAATCGGATCCGAATAATCCGATTTTTTTGCTGTATAAAAAAGGTGACCCTAAGAATATTGTAAACTACAGGCCTATAAGTTTGCTGCCGACTTTATATAAGCTTTTCTCGACTATCTTATGCAAAAAAATCAGCCCATCACTTGAAGAAAAACAACCCATTGAACAAACTGGTTTTAGGCGGGGCTTTTGCACAATAGACCATTTTCATACATTAGAACTTATCATTGAAAAATATCAAGAGTACCAAAGACCATTGTACGAGCATTCATCGATTACCAAAAAGCTTTCGACACAATCTCTCACACATTTATACGGGAAACTTTGAAAGCCCAGGACGTAGAGACGCATTACATTGAGCTTTTAAAAAACATTTATAACAAATGCACTAGCAGAGTTAAGCTAGAATCCACCGGACCAAGTTTCGCAGTGGAAAGGGGGGTAAGACAAGGTGACCCCATATCACCAAAACTTTTTATTGCGGTTCTAGAAAGCATGATAATGAAACTCGACTGAAAGAAAGAAGGCTTATTTATCCAAGGTAAATATCTAAGTCATCTACGATTCGCAGATGACTTAGTTCTATTTTCAGAATCTAGCTCCCAGCTACAATGCATGATCACTGATCTCAGTAAAGCTAGCCGTTGCGTGGGACTCGAAATAAACATATCGAAAACAAAAACCATGACAAATCACAAGAAAACGATTATAAAAGTAGATAATGAAAACCTTGAATACATAGAAAGTTACATATATTTAGGGAAACAAGTTGGATTTAACAGTGACAACAATATTTTAGAAGTTGAAAGGAGAGTAAAAAACACATGGAATAAATATTGGAGCTACAAAGAAGTGTTTAAAAGCGAGATGCCAATAGAGTTAAAAAAGAAAGTTATGGACACCTGTCTTATTCCATGCTTGACTTACGCCTGCCAAACCTGGAAATTTAACAATATTGTGAAGAACAAAATAACTACTTGCCAGAGGGGAATGGAACGCAGCATGCTGTACTTAAAGAAAATTCATAAAATAAGACATGCAAACATAGGACGAAGACAAAAGCTTTAGACGCTCTTACTCATGCTCAAAAATTAAAATGGAAGTGGGCTAGGCACGTAGCCAGACTTAAAGACCAGCGGTGGACCATAACAGTTACCATGTGGAAAGGCCCTCAGGGCAAACGACGCAAGGGAAGACCGCACGCACGTTGGGCTGATGACTTACAACGAGTGACTGGCCAGACTGGTGACAATGGCAGAGTATAGCTCAAGACAGAGAAAAGTGGCTATCTTTTTGAGAAGAGGCCTTTACCTGAGAGGGGTTCCTTACGGTTATTAAATAGTAATTAAGTGACTTCTGCCTTAATATATTAGTTAATAAATTTTAGATAAGCAATATTAGTCAGTAAACAAGATAGATATTAAGTAATTTAGAAAGTAAATGTATTTTTTTGTCAATTTGTACCAAGGAGGCTTTTTTTTATTATTATTTTTTATTTATTTTATTTATTTGTAGACATGCATATCAAACGTACTCAGTACGCATCTAGGCCATAGCGTAAAGAAATTCAATAGTGAAAAACCGGGCCGTCTAGACTGGGCAACGAGGAGGTGTGATTGTGTTATTCGCAGGTATTTGCATAGTTTTTCAACCTACTACCGTCATATTTTCATAGTATCTAGCCGATTATCGGCATTCAGCGCCGAGACAAAGAAATTCGCTCACTATTATGTTATCTTATGTCATACCTAAGTTACAAGTCCCAAGCACTGTGCGACATCTATATAGAGAAAAGGTCACGTGATGGGCCCAGCACCCGCAAGCAGGATCCGTAGATTGATAAGTAGTTTCTTATGTAGAGAAATACTTGCTTAATAAAGCGTCCCTTCCCTAGAACCTACTTCAACCTACGAGTAATACATAGGTACTTACAATGAAAAATGTTTAAAAACACTTGTGGGAATTTAAAAATACTTTTTTTTTCAAAAATGTCAAGGTAAATCTTTAGCTAAGTTAGATAGACATATTTGACTGTCGTATTGTATAGTTGAGTTTCACCTATTCGGGAATGAATAAAAATAAATAATGTTGCTGTTTCCTGATAGTGGTTCTAGGCAAAAAGGTACATAAAAACTGTTTCACAGCTGTTCTGATTGCTACTCTACAGGCATTACCACAGCATGGAGGTGTTCGCTACCTTCGATATCCTGAACATGGCCGGTCAAAGGGTAGCTGAGGGCCACAAAGCATCGTTTTGTCTAGAAGACAACACTTGCCTACCCGGGGTTGAGAGGAAATACTCGTGCAAGAATTACGGAGACCAAGGTAAGGTTAAAGTTTAGAAATAAGCTTCCTCGTTAGGGGGTTGCGGAGGAGGGGAGGGGAGGAGAGGGGTGGGGAACCCTCCTGTCCAACCTCCGTCTGCCGGAGATTTTTCAGGAAAAAAAATGTAAACATAACCTCAAAATAAAATATGCATAAAAAGCAAGAGAGAGATGACTTGTTAGGTTAAGGCTTATGAAAAAACGGTAGTGGAGAGTGCACAAACCCCATAAAACCTTTATTTTGATAAAAAAGGTCTCTTTTAAAAATCTTTTTTTTTCTGGCGCTTTGCCGGCCGCTACCGCGGCACGCTCGCTTCGCTCGCTGGGCTGGCGCGTTATGGTCAAACCACTAACCTAACCTAACCTAGTGTGAAGTATCACCACTTGGACCCCGGAAGTATAGTTTAGCCCTAAGGCCAACAATCAGTACGGGGGGCGCGCCAAGGTCAGTAAAAAGGGTCGAAATCACACAAAAGGAAGCACAGAACATTCACGGAAACTCGGAAGCAACGGAATGAACACATCTCATGTTAATTACTTTTGCGTATTCCTTTCCTCTTTTTTTAGTTCTCCCTTTCCAGGGAAGGCAAAGGGAGCAATGCCCATACAGCCTCATTTTTACTTTTATTTCTCACTACATTCGTTTCGTTTCACTCAAAAATATAAAAATACGTAGGTTCCTCTCCGGCAACTAAAATCGATGCCAGAAGTTTCAGTAAAGCCCCCTGAGCCCCCCACGGCGTCGGTTTTCCCAGAACGAGGAAGCTTATTTCTAAACCTACCCCAAGGTAACTTTAATCTCATCGTTCAATTCTAATAAATCAACCTCCAATAAAAGCTAATTTAGTTTTGATTCCTAACTACAGTTGTTATTAAAATGTCAATCATTAAAATATCTAGGCATGGATTTTAATGTACTTAAGTCAATGACGTATAATATACAGACAGGTTAAACGCCAACCTTACTATATTTTAAAATAGCACAAATAGTCCCCACCCCAAGTTCCCTTGGTAACAACCACGACTAAAGCGCATTAAAAAAGTCTCTTTCACCTCTCATTCATAAAGCAGATCACATGTCGCTCTTTATTCTCCACGTGTCAATCACCAAATATTCTTACATTATTTAGTACTATCTAAAAACGCACATAGGTTTTTTTCTCTGGTAAAAATATTTACACGTTGTAGCGAAGTGTAGCCGTGACGAGAGAGTGTGCCCGACTGAATGCAAGTCGGGCAATTACCTGACATTCGTATTGCCAAATTAGAAGCGTGTATGAAAAACATCATAGCTTAAATAATAGAAATATCTGGAGTTTGATCATTGAAACTGACAGATAATTGGAGAATATTTGTAACGTAGGATGCTGGGCTGAGAGGCAAAGAAAAACATAAAATAAGTATTTTTCCACAGGTGTATCCGTAAACTGTTCGGACGTATATCAATATAATATCGACTGCCAATGGGTGGATGTTACTGACGTAGAGCCGGGAGACTACACATTTAAGGTAGGTATGATTGTAAAATCGACATAAGATTTCAGCTACGTTGTAATGTATACAGTGCAGAATCAATTGTTGAACGAACGTTTAAAGCAGATTCGAGATGATTTTAAGTCTACGAAGTTTCTTTAAAAAAGCATTACTTCCATTATTATTTTACTTTTAATCCCAACTGTCAACACAAATGCTTTTATAAACCAACTATAAGTGCGTATCGTACAAGTGTCGTATAAACGTTCCTAGTTTTCTTACATTTATCCTAAACAAACATAAAGTATTTACCTTTTTCAAATTAATTCCACCTTAAAAAGAAACGTCCATATTCTGAGCTTTATTTTGAAACAATCTCTTATAAAAACAGGGGCCATCATATTAATCTGTAGCTCAAGAAACACACAGCCAATAATACCCAATACCCCGCAGTGCTAGGTACGTAAACACACTATCAGATTACGATACACAATCGGGGTCAGGATACGGGCAGATTAACGTGGACAAAAACATTAGCCAATTTACGTGAAGCAAACCAACTATTTACTTACCTGTTGGGAACCAATAAAGTGGCTTATCATCATTCTAGGAGAGTTTTCGCTCTAGGGTTAAGTGGGGGACAGTGTAACAAGGGGCACAGTGTAACATAAAATAATTTAAAAAAGAAAAAAAGGAAAGGAATATAGAGTCTGTGCGAAAAGAGAATGGGCGTGGCGAAAAACGAAACTAACATTAAGATTTTTATTTGGCAATCACACCCAGCAATCTGTAAAACGTCAAAGTTTTGTATTGATACGGATTTGTTTGTTGTTGTTACATTTTGCGGTTTTTGAAGTTATACTTCTTTAGGCGCGTTATGAAAAAATGATGAGAGTGAAATTTTAAGATGCGCGCGCATCACTGTAACACAAAATTTTAACAGCATGCTGTTACTTTTGTGTTTACCGCATATTAAGAAAATCTACCAACAAAATAGAAATAGAATCTATTTAGTGGGTGCTAACGACTGCATTGTGAAATCCTATCAAAAGTATTTATTAATCTGGAACAACGGAACCAAAGCGCGATTCAGGAGACTACAGCGCCATCTCTTGACCATTGGTGTAGTAGAACCAAAAACCACATCTTTATTTTTTGTAATAAAGAAACAGTTATAGGTATTTATATTTATAATATCAAAAGTATTTATTAATCTGGAACAACGGAACCAAAGCGCGATTCAGGAGACTACAGCGCCATCTCTTGACCATTGGTGTAGTAGAACCAAAAACCACATCTTTATTTTTTGTAATAAAGTAACAGTTATAGGTATTCATATTTATAATATTTATCCACATGTTTCTAGTTTGTATATTCGGAATACGTGTTTGAGTTTCATACAAGTGCAAATCACATAATATGTTCTAATAAATTATATTCAGTAGCGATTTTAATTGAATATTTTGATTATTTATTTATTTTGATTATAATTTATTGACTGTGTCCTTTTCCAGACTTTTTATTAATTTATTGTAATTAATTATTTGCATGGAATTAAAAACTAATTTTAAACGATGCCAAAGAAGGATAACTTCTCACGCGCCTACATAAGTACACGCACCCATTTTTTTTGTATTTAATCATGTCTAAAAGGGGTAAAACCTTACAAATACGGTAGAAAAGCAGTACAGCGCCCTCCAATTTTAATCCCATTCTCTTTCCGCACAGACTCTATCTGCTTTTTTCTTAATTGTCTATAGTATGTTTTAACGTGTTTTACTATAAAGTTTCATATGCCGTCATCTTAAGCAGCTATCATCAGACTTAAAATGACCATAGAGACATATTCCTTATGTCACTGTATTACTACTACTGTTACACTGTGCCCCTTGTTACGCTGTCCCCAACTTGACTCTACTCTTTAGGAAATGTTGGGTGCTCCCTACATTCTGGTCTTCGAGCTGGATATTAATCATTAAAGGGCATGGGAAGAGTTAGGTGAAAAACATACATCCTTAACTTAATTGCGTATCACCTAATTTATATTACATCAAGGCGGTTGGCCCACTGCAGCGCTCTACGTCGCGTAGCATTAAACGCAGATTTTAACGTTCATTGCAAGTATCTCAGTTCGTGTAGAAATCCCGCGAATTACCACACACTGACCAAGTAGTTATGTCCTCTACCACCTTTATCCTTAAGGTCAGGTCAGGTAGGGTGGCATTTCTTTCTATACCTGGTGAAAAAAACGCTAAGCGAATCAACCTAGTTTGATATTTTTCGATGAAGGTAAATATTTTGGTAACGAGTACTATAGATGCATCAAACAAGTTGCTTCTTCATATTTCATGTTTCAATTAGTTGGAAGATGTTGCGCCACATTATTACTATATTGATTCGTTTACAATGATAATATCCGATATCCTCGCCCTAGTTCTTAAGTTCGTTAAGTTATATTGTTACGTTCACCGCACAATATAGGTACACTAACTTTGTTTGTTTGGCTTTCTAAATCTTATAAAGTTGGAATGAAATTTGATTCACAAACATAACCTATTTAAGGCGTAATCTCCAATGATGAGCCGATGGGGAACTGCGTTAGCGTTCGGTCTTCGATCGTGGAAGTTAAGCAATCTTCGCAATGGACGATTATCGAATGGGTGACTAAAATTTATGAACTCGCGTTCCTCTCCGCACTTCGGAAGGCTCGTTAAGCTGTTGTTCCCGGTTGCATCTGCAGTCGTTAGCACACTGCACACGTCAATTGGGATCGCAAGCGTCTAAAGGCTATGGTGGCTTACTATCAGGCGAGCCATACGCTTGTTTGCCACCCTTTTAACAAAAAAAAACGCATTGGGCGTGGTGGGTCATCGTTTGAAATACACACAATGTATTTTCTACAAAAAAACCTTATAGTAATTAAAGGTCAAAGAAGAACGGCGAATGTAGGCCCAAATGTTTTAGAAGCCGTTCAATGATAGAAACATTAAAATTTAAATAAGGGAGCTTACAGTATTCTTTTAAATATAAACTAGATTTATAAAGGCTTGCATTCAGAAATAAAATAATTTAAGTTTCTATATCGAAACATCACGTTATCCATATCAATAATAAAACGCGAAAACAGCGACGTGGTTCAGTTCCGGTTTATGCAGTAGTTTTCACTTTAGAATAACATTAATAGCAGCTATTGCTTCACTATATTATGTAACTAAATTATTTTAATTATTTGATAAATTAAACAAAAGAAGTTAACGTCATCAAAAGAAAGAAGAAAATACCTTATTTTTAAACATTTTTCTAATATACAGTGGTGGTCACATAATTAAAGACACTCCTTAATTGACCACAAATAACTTACTTATGGTACTAAAATTAGCTAAAATTGGTATTTAAACTAATGTAATTTTTTATTGAACTATACACGACGTTGTATTCTTACAATGTGGGACAAAAAATAGTTGTGTTCGTTAGTAGTTTAGACACTACTCGCTATGAGAACATAACACAAACTTTTTTAACGTATTTGTGGCCAGCTAAAATAGCTAAAGTCTGGGTCTCAAAGTATATGGAAGTTCGCCATTCTTCTTTATCCATTACAATACCACGAGTTTGCTTAAAATGGAAATAAGAAGCACTTCGCATTAAATCTTGTTTCGTTGCAGGTAGCAGTAAACCCTCATGCCAGAGTAGCCGAACAGCAGTTCCACAACAACGCTGCAACTTGTCAACTACGTCTGACCGACACCTATGCTACTGTCTACGGATGCGTATTGGGTAGACCATGAACAAATATAATTAGAACTAAGTAGTTCTCGTCCAGGAACTGTCAGAAGAATTAATGAATTTTTCATCTTAATTAAAAAATATACCTCTACTTCTGTTCTTATTTATAATCTGCTTAAATTGTACATCAACATGTATTGTAACAAAAGCAACATTGAAATTGAAGTACCATAAATATGTAATACAAAAAATGCAGATAAGAAAATATGAATTACCTGGTGAAAGCCAGGCTGGTGTAGGTACTAATACACATATTATATTGATATGCAAAGGTACATTTCTTTCGTGATTGTTAGTTTGTTTTGAATTTAAAATTAATAAAAATATAAGTTTTATTTACCTTAAATAACTTGTTTCCAATAAAATATAAACAGAAAGAACCAGTTTACTTCATTATAGTTATAGTTTAAAAATTATTTTTAATAGGTAGATAAATTATACACAAATTGACTTTTATTCATCGTAAATTTATTTCAAAACCTTAAATCATATATCACAATAAAAGAATATTGTTCTAAGCATGAGCACATGCCCAATAATTCAATCAACATAATTAGTCATTTATCTGTATGTAGGTAATATTTGTACTCACTACAAATATTATGTGGCTACATAAATCCTACAATATTTTGAGCAATTTTTTACTGACTTTACGCTTTCTTACAACCAGGCGGTAAATAAGATGTAAGAAGTGTGTCATTAGTACACAATTAAACTCAATCACATTTCAATAGAATTGACATCTTTATTGTGGTTATAAAAACAGATTTTTTTAAGGAGAAAAAATGTATTTGGGACAACAGATAAAAATACAATAAATTTATATAAAATAAAACAAGTTTCAACGGTATATACGCACTGATTTATTTATTTATGACGTTGCGCATCCTTTTTAATCTGCGTCATCATAATTATGCGTTGCGAAACGTCATAAATAATTAAATCAGAGCATCTATACTTTTGAAACTTGTTTTATTTAATGAGTGGCGTGTGTGAAAACCTAAGAATTAAATAAATTTAGATTAGGTAGAATGTGGCTGTTTTTCTAGTTTTATCTTGATACGACAGCTAATTTTAAGTAGTTTGTGGCCTGTTCACTAAACTATGAAACTGTCATAGGATTTAATCTAAACTACTCCAATAAAAACTATTTAAGTAATATATACGGATATAAGAACGAAGATGAGCTTAATAGCAACCATAGTCAATATAAAGGTCTGTAGTTTCCTACTATTACTGAATTTTAGTGTACAGCAATTTGATTGTATACTTACAAACGACAATCATCATAACCCAAGTCTCTCGTTTCATAACGGTTACCTAAACCAAAGTAATTTAAATAGTTCTAGTCTAAAAACTAAACTAATACCTCGTAGTAAAAAGGACGCAAGGCACAAAATAATTTATCCAACCAAGTCTTATAAATAAATAAAAATGTCTGTAAACGTAAAAATCCTTAATTAAATCAAGCCCGTAAAAGATTACACAATTATCAGCTTGTGATATCAAAACTGACCTAGAGTCTAGCTGGACAGCATACAGCTTTCACCTCACAATTTCTTAATACATTGCACTGAGGTTAATTATAGTGTGCTGAAAATTGTCTATTCTAATACAAATCCTGAGAAAAAATATTAATGTGGCAAGATTCATGTAATGAAGTTGGTTTTTGTACTAACTATTAATTTTGTTTAAAAATCGGAAAAATTTCCTTTTAGAAAGTAAGAATCAGCAAACGTGTTTTTTTATAAATTAAACAATTATGGACCTGAAGCACTTGTATACCTACTTACAATACTAGGCGATGTAAATTATGCAACATATCACGTAAACAATTTTTATTGTTTCATGTTACGTACAGGTTACATTACATGTCAATGTAAAAAAATAATTATAAAAGTATAAATCAACACAATAGCTGAAGACTATGACAAATCTACATATTTTCATTCAGATATTTTAAATCAATGTAAATATGTTTTTTTATATAAAATTGTGCTTTGTAACATGTGATGTTATGTAACATGTAGGAGTCATGTGTTGCATTTTTTTATTGCCCGAAACTTAGCAATTTCACCCTTTCTTAAACCTAAGGAGGCATATACTCGCTGTTAGATGCAAGAATATCCAAGCTATTATGATCACAAAGCCCAAGTAAACGTCCGGTTGGTCTATGCCCCAACCTTTTTGAAGCATCGATCTTAGACCTTCAGTACTCTTCGTTAATGGCAACACGATGCTTATAGCCTTCAAGATGTCATGCATACCTGAAAGTAGATCATATTTAAAATAAGGAACATATTTCAATTCAATCATATTTAACAGCGACATCAAACTAAACGTAAGGAGCGAACCTCGAGGTACTACTCCAAAAATTTCCTTTAGTATTAGAGAAATATGTGATTTTCTTGATCATTTAATATTGAATATCTTCTAGTTTATCTTAGGCTGCAAGGCACCGTCTTCACACATTGTTTTTAAAAATATCGTGGAATAGATAATTTTACAACTTATGAAGCTTGTGAAAAAAAAAGAAATAGCAATCTAGTTTGTATTCGAAACAAGCGGTCGCCCGCAACTTCGTACGCGTGGAGTTAGTTATTCGTTGTTACAGAATGCATTGAAGAAATAAAGGTTCACTACTCGTTGCCCGTAGGTAATAGCGTGATAAATATGTAGCCTATATGTTGACCCGACTTCTTAATAATATTCGTGCCAAATTTGAAGTAAATCCATGCAGTACTCTTTGAGTTTATACCGGACATACATACAGACAAAGGGACAAAAATTCTAAAAACTATATTTTTAGCTTCGGTATCGATTGTAGATCACACCCCAAGTATTCTTTTAAAAAATATTCAATGTACAGTTTTCACTTTCCTACCATTTTATTATATGTAATATATTATAACTAGCAAACCAGTGAACCAAATGTTCACCAAAACCTGATTTCTCGAAAACCGGAAGTGCTACGTTACTCAAATCCGGTTTGTAGTCTTATCAGACTATTCTTAACTTATAACTTAAATATTCTCTTTATCTATCTCTTATGGTTTGGCCGCTGAAACAGCACCACAGACAGACGGACTTGTCTAATAGATAAGAGATAATGCTCTGAAAACCTTTGTGTAAGTAAAAAACCAGCTAGCAATCCACCTGAAGTTAGTGGACGTTGCCGCCCAAGGACACTTGCAGCATCGAGGTTACCACTCATGCGTTGCCGGCTCTGGAAAAAAAAGGTTATTACCTTCTATAGGCCAGATCACGCCGCTCAATAAAGTCATAGGCAAGAAGGATCCCAAGGCCATATAGGTTGCAGTCTTGTCTGTATCACAAAGAGTTGCTACGACGAAACCTGAAATAAATTATGCAATAAGCTATATGGGCCATCAGGTTGCGGCCTACTACAAAAAAAATAAACGAAATTCAGCCGACGTTCGTCATAGGAATGTTTAAAATTGCGCGTGTTATAGTACAATACCTCTCCCAGACGTTGCTGATGCTTTGGTGCTTAATGCGCTAACTTTCGAAATTTGCATTAATTCTATCGTAACTAATTATCGAGCTTCGAGACGATCGAAGCTAGACGATAGCTTACTTACACTAGCGGTTTTCGACACACATTGAAGAGGTTGTGGGAGACGATAAATGTGTATGTGCAACTGATGGAGCGTACTTACGATTGAACTAATTCAAATTTCGATTTGCAAATTTTAGTGCAAATAATTAGTCACAGCTTCGTCGCGTGGGTCGTCGTGTCGAGATGCATAAAGAACCATTAAGTTCTAGACTAACACGTGAGTAACGATATAACTTCAGCTCGATTATCGTTTTCCATTTTTGTAGTAGGCGCTCTGATTACAAATGCATAAGTTTTGTAATGGTAAATAAAGTACCTACTTCCTAATTTGACATTGTACCTCTCGTGATTTGCCTACTCAAACCCTATCCCCAACCCAGTGTAACCCAAGGACCTTACTCACCGAAACAAACACCAAAAGATTTTTTTAAATTTTATTTTTCTATGGGAACAGTTAAATTGCTACCAATATTCACCATTTTAAAAGATCTATGCCATTGTTACATTATTTTTTACCCTGTCAAATAACCTACTGCCTATAAACAAAATAAGCCTAAGTGCCCATGTACACCACGTTCTTTAAACGCGCCATCGACGCAGGTTTGATTCGATACATACGCGATGCGCACGCGAGTCAGACGCACTCTGTATAGCCTGTGCACGCCTGCACAATCCAAACTCGCCATAAACTCGATACAGACGAACGTGTGAAGGGATACAAACGCGATGTTTACGCGCGTGTGTATCGATACAAACGACATCAAACTCCTTTGTGGGATAAAAACGCACCTATGACGCACGTTTCTAAAACAGGGATCGATGACGCGTTTAAAAAACCTGATGTGCATAGACCTCTTGTTCGATTACGGTTTTTCGAAACTTACCGAAAGTCATCCCACAAATTCCAGCTAGGAATGTCAGGAAGACAACCCATCCTATGGGACCGTTCTGACTGAGTTCGAACACCAAAAACGCGATGATCATGACACCTACTGTCTGGAGGAACATCACAACCAGCTCCACTATCAGCAAGGCAAACAAGATCTCCACACCTGGAAATAAAGTCGTTTATTGAACAACACCGACCGACCTCTTTTGTAAAGCTTTTTTTATTAAATTATAAGTTTTCTTTCCCGCGTGTTCGAATTTCGAAACGGATTCAAAATGCTGCGATGATTATTTTATTTACTTTTTGTTTTGCCATATTAATTTTTTTTTTCAACCGTCTATAACCGTTTAACCGTTTCTATTCTTCTTGCGTTTTTTTTAACCATCCGTATCAATATTACAACACGTTCATTCGTTCGTTCATATTAAACAAGAAAACGTGAACAACCACGCATGTGTACGTGGTTTAAGGAAAATTGTCATGTCAATTATTGCAATTGAAAAAAATGTATTGCAACTCCTCTTTTACATCGAAATACTCACTAGTTATACCGCTCACAAGTGATCGCTCCAGGGTACCTTCGTTCCTTTCTGATAGCAAAGCTCCCGATGTCAATGCCACAGCCAAGAAATATATTACCCTGCCAATCAAAGTTATGCCTTAATACGAATACAAAAACTTTAGTTGATCTCTCTCATAGAACAACAAGAGGAGAATTCGATGGCGCAATTTTAAACACAATGGCCTGGGGCAGCAGAAACCATAAAAAAGACATTCGCCAGGTACTGATCTATTTTTTATTAAGTAGATATACCTGCACCGACAAGTAACCCTTTGGGCCGCTCTTGCTGGCCGAATGCACCACGCAATCACCTCCGTCGCGGGGGATTGTTAACAACAAACCATCGCGGCGTCGGTCATTGTGCGTGGATATAATGCATTTCTTTCTCCCCGTCAGCAAAAAAAGGAGGAGGGTGGAAATTTTAAGTGGCCTGATTTTAAAATACGCCCCTGAGGCCATGGCATGCGTAACCAAAAATTTGATATATCGAGCTTCTCCGAGCTTTGGAAGACACGTTAAGCGGTTAATCGTGGCTACATCTCCGGTGATTGGAACCCATGAATCCGCACTAGGCTTGCGTGTTGGGGCACAGGCCTTCCCTATGGATGCATAGGGAAGGCTTGTGCCCCACCAGTTTGGACATTCATGGATGTATTGCTAATGGTGAACAGAACAACATAATAAGAAGATAAAGTAAGATGTACTTTAAAATGATTTTACTCTAACAGGCTTCTGCGCTAGGAGATCTATATGACAGATACCTCTGGACCCTATAGATAATAGTCGTACCTACGAGGACAGTCCTGTTATGGTCAGCGGGCAGCCGTACATTTGCTATTGCAAAGTGGATTGTCGATAAAGTTCATAGCAGTATAATGACAGGGTAGACAAGGCGTGCAAATACTTACGTTAAAATGACACCTGGCGCAGCAAAATCAGTCATATTTGGCATTTTCAAACCGTAAATAGGATCGTGTATCTGTAAAAAAAAAACAAAAAAAACGAGTGTGCTTAGGACCACACGACTGAAGTTATACTTATTTAGCTCCATCTGTATATATATATATATATACATGTGTGTGTGTTAACAATATACATGTGTGTACATATACATATTTCATGTATATGTACACACATGTATATTGTTAACACACCCCCACCCCCCCACTTCGTCATGCGTAAAAAAGTTTCTCTTCGAAAATAGTTTTTTATTTAGTTATTTAAGTACCTACCTACTAATAATTCCATCGATAATGGTGAAAAAATGACTTGCTAGAAATCCTTTCCGTTTAGATAATAAACTAAAACATAGAGCTATTGGGGTAGGTACTTCTATTGTAAGGCTTATACAGTAAAAAATAACCTAGATGGTGCAATGGTTAGCGCGTTCAGTTACGATCGTGGAAGTCAAGCAACTTTTGCAATGACCAAGCATAAGATGGGTGATTAAAATTAAATTATCTCGAGCTCCTCCGCGCTTTGGAAGGAACAATTAACCGTTGGTTCCGGCTGCATCTATGGTCGTTACCATCTATTAGTGATAGCCCATTCTCTCTATTCATAATATGTCTTATATGGAGACCCACCCAATGTTGAAGTAGGGGCAACTCCCACCTGTCCGACAAAACGCACAGGATGCTGTTGGGCCTGGCGCGCACCCGACTCAGTAGCGAGGCACATCGCTTTCGAATTATGAAAGCGATGTGACAACCTCCGTGGTCGAGTGGTTTAAACGCCGGGTTTCATGGTGTCGCCGACTCGAGAGATCCCGGGTTCGAATCCCGGTGGGGGCAAATGTTTGTGTGTGAATACGAGCATTTGTACTCCAGTCATGGATATTTAATATTTAATTTCTATATAAATATACTTACATATACATAACACAACACTTACAGTGCTTACTTTGGGGCTAGGCTAATTGGTGTGAGTGTTAGAAATATTTATTTGACGTGACAACGTCTTAAATTAGGTTGCGGCTGGGAGTCACTTATGAAAAAGTGTAACGCTCGGTAACGTTACGATGAGTCTCTCGTGTTAAGTTTAAGTTTACATGTACAATGTTTTAGTAAACAAAATATATTTCTATAGTTAAAATTTGTGCAATTCTTATTTTCATTCAATTCCTTGTTCCTATTGTGCAATTTAATTATATTCATATCAATAAATATTCTACCGAGAAAAAGACGTTGTCACGTAAAATCTTCGCCCGTAAAACAGACTTTACAGGCAACCATTTTTTCTTTTAAAATAAATAAAATGAAGACATAATGGGTTAATGATGATGATAAATGACTTACATGAGCAGGAATAGCCAATGCTCTCTCTGGAAGGTCACACGCCACAGTCATGTTGGTCAAAACGTCCACGAAGGCCTCGGCAAGGTCTTTCTTCAACATCCACTTAATCTGCTTGTCTGGAAAGAAAAAGGACACTTTAATTATATGTAATTCAGTGTGGTTTTTGCTGTCTGGCCATAAGAACTATGTGGTACTTTACTTTGCTTAGGCTCGGGACAGACAGACAAGACGTAAGAAGAAGACGAGGCGCGGACATAATAATATGTGTCTTTTGTGTCCTTTTCATGAAAATCGTAAAGAAGCGTCGCGTTGCAAAACATATAGAAAAGACGGGGCGCGGATACGACGCCTCTTGTAAAAATGAATCATCACTTCTGAACGACTGAACAAAATTTGATAATTCTTTTATTATTGTGTTCGTTATTGTCAGGACAAGGTTTGTATAAAAGAAATTTTAAAAAAGACACGGAAAAAAATTAATACGTGAAATATTTTTAAAATAAAATTCGTTGTTATTCCGAAATTGCCAACTCACGTCACGACACGCATTAGCTCTCAGCATGACTTAGCTGAGCTTATTTGTTTGGCATTCACTCTAAGTCAGTGATGTAGGTTCTAGATTTATAAATAAATGTTACAAAAATTGCAGAAAATAGCATAGGTACACAAATCAAAAGCGACAGAAATTATGCCTGTGTTTTGGCAAGAAGACAGGAGGAATATGATTATGTAGGTACGAAGTCCGCCGGGTCAGCTAGTTTTGAATAAAACTGACAATGTCCGGGCCCCCTCTGCGTACTACGTCTTTTCTGCGCGACCAGCGGCTTAAATTACCCCTAAAGCGGCATTAAGACGCATCTTTACCAGCAGACATAGTGATTGAAGAGCTTGATGACGCTTTTGGTTGGCGTGTTCGATCTGCGATCGTGGAAGTTAAGCAACTTTCGTAATGTTCGGTTATAAGATGGGTGATCAAAAATTTACCACCTCACGCTCTTCCTCGAGTGTTATAGAAAGCAAGCTAAGCCTAATCTATCAACCTGAAAGGGCCCTTGTGTTGGATCTGGACCCAATCTGCCTATTCCGTTCAATGAAAACCTGCACCCCGCAGATAAAAATAATATGTCGTAAACTTCAGCGTCGTCCAATCTTACACTTACTTACATAGTTTTAAATCCTGAAGAGGAACGAAGCTGACGATACATCAAATGCTGAGTATTAGTACAAAATCACACTAATATTATAAAGGCGAAAGTGTGTGGGTGTGTATGTTTCTTACTTCTTCACATCTAAACGGCTGGAGCGATTTTAAATATCGCTAATTGGAAAATATCCCTAATAAAGCGCGGATAACACCGCGGGGCACAGCTATTATTTGTATTTAAATCCGAAACGAATGCATATTTAATACGTTGCGTTATTGCGATATATCGTCATACTTCTATCGCGTCGTTATTATCGCAGCAGTGAGTAACATTGTAGCCGTCCCGTCGTCCCATAAATTGAACTAAAATAGATATAGCAATAACGCATCAGATATTATCCACCGATAATAACGCGCTTCATGGGGTGAAGCTTTTAAGGGGGTTTTGCACCGCGAGCCGAGTGAGTCTATTACTCGTAATGACTCCGTTTACTTCACAATACAAAAAATGCATACATCTGTTTTCACAAACAAAGAATCGAACGAAAATTACAAAGAGGGCAATTAAGGAAAAGAAATTATAATGAGAATCAATACTCCCGAACTCTTCCTCGGTGGGAAAGCAATCCTATTTTATGTAGACGAATACCTCTCCGCTAGACATCCCTAGTTCAATCCTCTTCGGCGATAGAAAACAAACTTAAAGCTTAGTAATTTAAAATTTTCATTTGTTAGATTTTTAAACGCCATAACATAAGCAAAAGTTTAAGCTGTGGTTTAAGTATCCCCGCCTTGACTCTATATGCGTTCGCGATTATCTCAAATGTTACTGAACTTTAGGCGGGATTCGTATCAGCGTATTTTGTTAACCGGGCTAATGCACTAACCGCTATACTACCCAAAGATATTTCTACAAAAATAATAAATGTGGCAGTGTACACCTAAATTATTTATGTTAAAAGGGTGGTAAACAAGCATATGACCCGCCTAATGGTAAGCGGCCACCAGCAGTCTATAAACGCTTGCTCTGACTCAATCCCCTACCCCGTGGAGCCCTGAAACCTTACACACCAAAAGAAACACAGCACCCCCAAAAGGTAGTATAATTTTACTGTGTGTTCATAATAATCATAATCATAATCAAAACCATTTATTCAGTTTAGGCTGTTACAAGCACATATGAATGTCTAGAAGCTACGCCATCGGTTCGTAAATCTACGACGGGAGACCTTGTACTGAGAAGAACCGGCAAGAAACTCAGCAAGGGCTGTGTTTTTCTCCCTGTTTTATCATTTACAGAGTCGTCAAGTTGAATAATGACTTCGGAGATGATTCATGATGTCACCTGTCATTACATAATGTGGAATTATACATTAATTGTCACACAGTATAAATACAAATAGAGTTATTTATAATAGGTGTTATCAAACATTTACATCTTAAATATCAAAGTAGTTAGGACAGACTCATCTCCGCTGGCAGCACCCGTTCACGAGCATGACGCATGAACCAGCTATCGCTTCGCTTAACCATATTTTAGAGAACGTAACGACCCGCCTCACACGACACCACCGAAGAGACTTTTAAGAGAGCAAAATGTTGGAGATTACTTCCCCAGACGGGCTAAATCCGCTATGCTCTACCTCTCTAAACTTAATAATTGAAAATAAATTAAGTGCTTAGAGGCTGTCCATTAATCACGTGAGGCTCGAAAGCGGGGGGAGGGGTCCATAAAAAATCACGAAATATCACGGGGGTGTAGTAATTTATCACGTGTATTTCCGTGGTCCGAGGATACTGTACATTAAATAATGTTCATGTATAAGTTTTTCGCATTTCTTTCATTATTTTTATGTCAGTCAAAAACAACCTGCAACCTTGATACCTTATACCTATGTACTTCATAAATATTTTAAACAAAATAATAATATACAACCTCACGAGATTAATGGACGGCCCCTTACAAATTGAGTTGAAGGCAAACAGATTTAGTTTATCGATATCTCGAATACCAAAAGCTTTATTTACACATAGTCGTACAAATTACGAGAACGTACTAACAAACTAAGAAGACCGTAACTTTTGATTAAAAAAAATTACGTGCCCAAACGGTTTTGATTGGTCCGATGAAAAATCTAATTTATATGCAAATTACTATATATATATATATAAGGGCGTTTGAGCGATTTCGGGGATATCATGGACAGATTCTTAATTTGCCACGTAGATAGGTCGTGTAAAATGGCAAAAAAGTAGCTTTGATTAAGCTTAGTGGGGTATTAATAAAAAAATGCGAGTATTTCCCTTTTCAGTATTACCCACTGTGTGTGTGTTTTTTTATTACCCTCTGTAAGTATTTCGGAATAAATTAAAATCTCCTAACGAGTATAGATTTGACTACCTAACAGTTAGTGAAAAGAAACCAAGGGCTCTCGCCTCCCATTGCAAAAACAAAAACTGTTGCTAAGAAACATAACAGATATAGGTATATTTTACTGGATATTGATTATTGAATCTGGCCGTTGAATAATCTACTTGAGTTTCCGAAGTTACCCTATCCTTTAATAACTGCTAATATATCATAATTATAATCATATGATAAACTAACAGAAAATGAAGTGCCGTTTTGTAAAATGTGAAGACCTGTAATGCGAAGAGATGGCACTGCACCTCAGAAATAGTAGACGGAATTCGACACGGCCAATAATGTCGTGGTAGCATAATTGGTCAGTGCATCCGCCCAGACAGCGGATGGGGGCCGGTTTGAATGCCATCCGCCTGGAATACCTCTAGAGGCACTCGCCAATTCTCGGAGATCGGAGAGAGACCTTGAGGTTCCCTTAGAATCTCGCAGTCCCGACACCCAGTGACGCTGTAAAGGTCATTTGCGACCAACAGCAAGCACACTCAAAATAAAAGTCTGCTTCACAGACCGCGTGAAATTTTTTCTTGTAAATTTTTCTTTACATTTAATCGTCTATCAGTTAAATGCTTAAAAATAAAAATATAATAAACTAGTGGCCCTCGCTTTGCTTCGGTGTAGAGCTATAGTGTAGATTTTAATGACTTCATATAAGTACCGAGTAACTGCGGGTTACTTTGACCTAAAATGTGCACTTTTTTTTTCAAATAAAATTGTAGCTTCTCTTTGTGATGAATATGTCACGTTTATATCTTTCCATTGTGAACTTTCAAGTATAAGTTACAAAGTAATCATACGAAAATAGGAAAAAATAATATTTGAGGGTTAATATATGTTTTTTTAATTTTGGGCCAAAGTTGGCCTTAAAGAGGGTTACTTTGGCTCGTTGAGTTTTCTCTGTGAAAAAAAACTTATTTTAAGCCATGTTGGGGTTAAGTAACCCTTATAACAGATCACCGTTAGCATACTGAATACACAAATGGATGTTTTTGCCCAAAAATAATTAAGTTAAATAAAAAATATAACTTTAAATTTAGAAAAATTAGTAAACTTACCGAAAACCACAATTTTGAGAAAGTTTGCGCATGAACTTGCGAACTATTTCAGTTACAAAAAATCCCGCGTTACAATGACAACTTGATACAGAACGATGTCGGTAAAACAACACCACACTACGCGCCTATATGGCTATCTGTGATTTTCAACTGAAACTATTACAGTCACCCAAGAGATACTGATGGGGCGGCAAGTTCAATATTTTTTCTGATTTGGGACAAAGTTACCCGCCCGAGCTAAAGTAAACCCTCACTTACGGTAATTATAAAAAAACTGAAAATGCTATATTTGCCTTTTCCAAACTTCCATTGACATCACGTCGCTCAATTGTTTTGCATTCCCAGTATCTCTCCACTAACATTTGAAATTTATGGTATGGCATTAAAGTTCAAATTGACTTTTAAGTATTATTACGAATCGTTTGTATGGGAGTATAGAAAAGTGTTGCTTTTGGACATTTTCGTGCATTTTTTTAATTTTTTTCTCTGCGTAAGAACCATCCTCGCACTTCAAGGAATATTTTAAAAAAAGAATATCAAAATCGGTTCAGCTGTTCTCGACATTTGCGCTTAGCAACACATTCAGCGATTCATTTTTATATTATAGATGTCAAGAAAATTTATATTCACTACTATATTCGAATGTATTATACAAAAAAATCTTTGAAACAAATGAAGAGCAACATGCTCCGTAATATGATCCATATTCAAGGGTACGGTTGCGAAGTCACGTTCTATGCGGGTGACAGACAAGCCTTCCAGGTGTCAGACAACATTAACCTCCGGCTGTAAGCCTACACCTGAAATGTAGTCTACTGTGTCACATACTTGGAAATGTATGTAATTCAAATAAGCCTCATTTTTTTACTCTATTACTTTTAAACTGTCCATCATGCCAGCGTACACCAGATCAAATTCGAGGTTGTTACTTATGCTTTTAATTAGTGAGTAAATATTTTCTAATTAGTGCAAAAAAAAACCTTTTTAGTTTACGAAATAATTACCGTTTTTACGGTGTACGCTTGCGTGACGATCAAGCTGATTGTTCTCGAAAACGGCTGCATGTTAAGCAACCAATTTTCACAGAAATTTGTGCCCTAATAGTGCCTACACTATGCAAAAGGATACCTCATAAAGAAACAAAGATATAGATCTAGACTTTTAAATAACCTTTCGAATGCTTAGAGCATTTACGACTGCAGACGCCATAGCGTTCACTCGCTGAACAAAAATTTTCACCATTTTTAGTGCGGGAGGAGGTACACACGTATAGCACACTAATGAAAATATGCAATACTCCCACAAACACGAGCGTGTTGTTGCTATAAACGTTGTTGTCGTAAATGCTCTAAGTTGGAATGGCGTCATGGTAGCGTACACCAAATAGTGCATATAGGAAGCGAACTTATAACATATGATACATGTATAATTATTAGTGCATGAAATTCTGCCTCTGTTATTAGACATAAAACACTATATGAATTCGTAGCACAAAAAAACTGCTGTAACTTCGACTATATTTCATTACATTTGTTCTTAACAAATATTTTTATAATTTCTTATTTTTAGATAAAGTTTTGCTATTTAGTAACACGGCAAGTTTTTACACAAAAAAACAGCAAACCTAAGTCACTATCACTACCCAGGCACTAAAATGTTGCTAAATAAATTCTGAACCACTAAATTGCCATTAAAAATATTTAAAAAATTACTCACTGACGTTATCCATGTGCATTTTGATGCTTGAAGTGTCTATGGTCGCATTGTCTATGTCCCGGCTGTCCACCATCCTCTGTCGTATGCTTTCGGAGAAGTTGGACGGGAAGGTGATGATTAGCCACGCTTTAGCGTTCTTTGCGTCCGCCAAAGCTGCCTCAGTAGTTGGATAATACAGCTGTGTACAATAAAAAAAAACCTTTAAGAAAGATCCATATTTTTTTCAATTAATGAACTAAACGTAATTCGCTTCGCTTATGGTGCTACTGCAACTTTCCATGCTAACTTCACTTCACGCTATGATAACGGGACTAAACGATACCTCACGAAATGCAGCAAACTAACGAATGTAACGCAGTTGAGCCCTGGCCCTAGCACAGCTATGAAGAAAGAAAGCTCACTTATTTATGCTTTTCGTTTGAAATGTGCACCCATATCGCTAAGGTCATAATAAGGTCAGTAGCATAAATAAGAGATACTTACCAAATTCCTCTGCCGCTGGTGGAGATAATGTAGATATCTGCAGCTGAAATTTGACATATCCCATTCCCAAGTTTCAGGATTCTGGGCGCATCCCCGGTTGAAGTCGCAGAGTACATCTGTGCTGTTCACCTCGTAGTTTATGACTGAAATGGGCAAATCGTCGGGATACCGGCCAACGGCAACGCAAAACAGGACCATTTGAAGCATCGGTAATCCTATGATGAAAGCTAACAACCTGAAATAGAGAAGGGTGTTAAAAATCAAGAATGTGATAGCTTTTGTTTCATTTAGTCCTTGGCAGACTGACAGCGAGGTGAGCCATCATTACGATTTTTCTACGTGATCGAAATAAAGCGATGTGCTCTTAAAATCAATAAATCGATGATGAACTTCGTCACGTCCCGACGGTAATTATCAACGTAAGTTAGATAGAGTATTGTTCAATGAACTATTAGAAAGTGAATCAAACTCCAAAAAACACTATGCTTACCCATAATTCCTGATTAGTCCCAGAGCGTTCCTCCAAACCAGTGCTTTCATGTGATTCCACTTCAGTGGGTTGTATTTCTCGTAGATTGTGAAATTGCGCTGTTCCTCTGGAGGCATTTCAACCGGTGAACAGTCGGGAGTTACTACGACCCTGCCTTTACTGCTCATGGATACATTATCACCGAATTCCCCAGATATCTCCCCAATTTCTGCTTCTTCCGCTTGTGGTGCTGGGTTCTATGGACAATATACATTTTTTATTGAATGTATTTTTTCTTATTTGTGTCGTATTGATTTAACTCATAGCTTTGCATCCATGTTTTATTTGCAAGGATCAAAGATAAACCTACAAATACACTAGACAGCAAGAAATTCGGAAGGCTCGACAAGAATAAAACTGACAACTATCAAAGTTCAACTACATATTAATATACCTACAAAAAGTGCGTTTCATGATGATTTAAAATGAACAGGAATTTATTGAGATTGATATATATTTTTTTAAGTTTTTATTAAGAGTTTCAAAGAAGAGTCGTTTTTCAATGTTGTTAATCGGTAGTAAAAAATGTAGCAAAAAAACACGCATCTTAGAAAACTATGAACAAAAACTAAATAAATGATAAGAAGTATCAGACTATCTTCATTTTATAAAAAAACGGCCAATTGCGTGTCGTGTCCATTTTCTTTACCGTTATCTTTTTATCTTTAACAAATCTATTTTTACTAATAACATTATATAAAGTAATAATTTTCCTTAAAAGTTCATGAAAAGAACTATCAGCATTATGTTTTTATTTATTTTTAAGCTTTTAACTGCTAGATGTTTAAATCGAAAGAAAAGTAAGTAGTAACTATCATCATATTTTTTTCCAGATTTTTCAAGCCAATAGTTTAGCTTTTAGAAGGGGGACGCCCTTCACGAACAAAAATTACCACCTTAAAGTTCAATGTTTCGCAAGCGGATCCCTAAATCGAAAAATAGTCTGAAGAATCCTTAAATAATTTTAAAGAACCTATTCAGCGACACCACACAATGGAGTAGAGGATGAAAAAGCGAAATCATCTCCAGGTTACATGTAGGGGAGGTACCATAAAAGATTTTTTTTTTTAATCTACCATTTTGTCCGCGGAATTGATATACATATCTCCAGAAAATTACAGCTCTCTAGTCCTAGAGAGCTGTAATTTTCTGGAGTTCATTTCTTTTCTTAGACTTGCCGCAGAAAAGTAAGCACTGTAAGACTTGTGTTATGGGAATTGTCTATTTAGGATAACTTACCGCTGTCGCAGGTATTTCAACCTTGTCCACTACATCAGCTAAGATGCTGGAACGCCTCCTCTTTCCCCTGTTCTGGATGACAGCCAGCTTCAGGAACACATCTTCCAGGGTCTCCGATTGGTACCGTCGGATCAGCTCCGCTGGAGATTGCTCCGCGAGGAACCGTCCTCCACGCATGAGCCCAATCTATAGAGAGATAAGATAATTAAATAAAAGGGTTTTTTTATTCAAACTAATGTTAGGTGGGGCGTTATTTAGTATCTGTCTGTACGACACTTTTAAATACATGAAGTCTGTTTTGATGGAGTTAATAATGATTAGAAACTCTACAAGTATTCTCTACAAAGAATACATTAGACAAATTGACGAAAGGCAAAAAATATCTGTACCCTTAGAATGAACCAATATCGAATTCGAATAGTTTGCGAGTGCGAAATATCATTGACAAATGAGTACTGATTTTTAGTTCTCGTTACGCCCGTTATGGCGCTGTTGTTCAAGTTGCCATACAAAATTTGACAATAACATTTAGGACTCGCAAACTATTCGAATTCGATATTGCTTCGTGCTAGGAGTACTGAAATGCATAGGCCGCAGATTTTAGGTGGCTCTGACTACAGATTCACTTCTTAAGACAAAATTGTCTCAAGAATTTTTAATAATTTATAAATAAATGAAAGTGTCAGGAAAGGTCAACGGTTCCTGAAATACTTCAACGATCTAATTAATGATGCTTGATAAGATTGGGGGAGGCTGAATGGAGAGATTGATGAATGTAAAAAAAGAAAAGAACTTATGCACAGACAGCCACATGCCAATTTACCCAAAACTGTAAAATTTAACCAACTGATTCTGAGCTTTATCTCGCTTAATTTACGATTCATAGTCATGTAAGGAAATTTTACTATGGTGGTAGCTTGATGTGTAGCTGTCAGTACTTATTAGTACAGTCAATCTGTAGGTTGAGTCGTGAAAAAAAAACCTTAAGGGTAAGTCTTGGTTTTTCTGTTGCCAAATGACGTCAGTAAGCCACCTTAGCGATGGGCATGTTCAACTCGTAGGCGTTTTTTGAAAAACTCAAAAAAACCGTCAAAAATTTTTGAAACGCATTTTTCTTGTTTTGTATGCATTTGAGAAACTTTTTTTTCGACCATAATTGTAGAGGGCGTTGAGTGCTACAATTTATGTCATTGTTGCAATTTCGTACAACAAAAAATGCGCATTGTAGGTGGCGCTAAAGTCTCAAAAAAGTGTTTTTTCACTTTTTCACCCTGAAAATATCATTTTAATGGAAAACTTTAAATGGCGAAGTTGTTTCGTACATAATTACCAACAACTTTTGTATAAACTATTGTTTTATATTACTTACCGTTTTCAAATTAGAAATTGCGCAGGTATGAAAAATCCAATAGAGCGGTTTTGGGCAGTTCAAGTACACATTTGCAGTGCACATTTCAATGTACGTTTTACTATTTTTTATTTTTTTTCATGATTGAAAAACAAAAAAAAATTAAAAAAAATTAAAAAAAATAGTTTTATTTTTATTTTTTTTCATGAGTGAAAAAAAAATAGTAAAAACGTACTATATGCCATTTAGGCAACTTGCAACAAAGTTCTTAATCAAAAATAAAGATAATCATGTTTACACCTAACTGCTCGTTCCCACTTGTCGGGTGTCGGATCCGTATATTAATCGGAGGTTCCAGTGGCAGATCATTTTATATGAAGCTATTCACACTTATCGGAAACCGATTTTGTGTCGGCTCCGACAAGAAATGTCGGGTGTTTTGCCAGCCCTCTACGCCCGGAAAAAAATCGTGTCGGATCTCGCTCACCTATGATTAAGAATGGCGCTGTTCACATTTGTCGGATGTCGGGGCCGATAAACCTCTTCCCGCTTTGTATTTTGGTAGTTTATGCTCACTGATATTTGAGCCAATAGACGGTTGAATGTACTTATCGACTTTCTAAAATAATTGAAAAACTTAATTTCGTCACTTCTCAATTCAGTTATTAAGTTCTGAAATGTTCCCAAACTAAATCTTTCCCTCAGGATTGGGTGCACCCAATATTTTCTTTCCTTGGCTGTCTTTCCGCGTTTTTTTCTTAAATAATAATACATCACAACAACAACTTCGTCAACGTCCATTGTGAATCGTCGCCTCGCGTAGAGTGCCTAAAATTGGTTAAAGCTTCAACCGTGACCGACAACCGATTTTAAATCGTGTGTGTGAACAAAGGCACCGACATCCGATTAATATACGGATCCGACACCCGACAAGTGGGAACCAGCTCTAATTCTATCTTTCAACAATTTACAAAGATGGAATGAAAATATTTAAGGCTCACTTGCACAGAACACAGAGAGGTTAGAAGGGCCTAGGTTAGAAGAGTCTAGAAAATTGCTTCTGCTTGCGTCACTTTCGAGTGTGAGCGCTGATTGCATCGATTTCAAACAGTCACGTCGTTTGATTGGCTATTTTCTATTAGGTGGAAGTATAGTAGGGACAAGCCGGCGGCATCAGTTCTCGTACAAACGGTCTATGATCACCCTTCATTACTTTTCTGTGTTCTGTGCTCACTTGTACTTAATTTCATAAAATCCCAATTTAAATTAAACTACATTTGTAACAAAATGTGAAGAGCCAATGTCAAATTGGTTTTTTTTAGTTAAATCAAGATTTGAGCGTTGTATTAAATGAGCATGAAAACCTAAGAAACAAATAAATCTAGATTTAGCAAAATTGCTTCAAATGGTTCGATTTAAGAACTTTGGTGCAAGTGGGTCATAGTCTATCTCGTGGTGTCGTGTTTCATATTTTGATTATAGTTGCCCTCTGGCCAGACAAAACCAGTCAAAGTAAGGCTTTTTTACACCAACAAATTAAATGGTGTTTAATCACATGCGGTTTACAATATACTTTTTAAATTTGATTAAAAGAACTGATCCAACAAAACATGAAATAAACCTGACAACCATATTTGGATGCTTCACCAAATCTACAAGGAAGAAATGGCGCTAAACTTTATACGTTCCGTATGTAGATAAAACCAATTAGTGAAATTAAAATTATAATCTGAAAATTACAAATACACACCCATAAATAGTCCTCGTCTTAGGTCCTCGCAGATACAGGGAAGCGTATTGTAATTAGTTAAATAGTAGCAGAACGTTACAAGGTAGTTAATTGATGACAAATATTGATGCAGTTAAATTGTAATGTTACGCGAATATATTAGGAGACAATTCGGTTGCTTGAGAAATGCGGAAGTGCTCTCTCATATTATTGCTGTAGATTATTATGTCAAATACGGCACACATACAATAAACCTTTGATTATTTAAATAATCATAGACATTGTTGTGGATCGTTTCTCATGCGAAATAATGTTCTCCTAAATAAAACGTAGGCCCTTTTAGGCTATTTAGCAGTCCTATGCCACGAAAAAAACAATTTAAGAGAAATGCGCTTATTACCTTTAACGAGAATTATAATAATCAATCAATCATTATCAAAAGTACAAAATGTGAAAATTTATTTTATGCCATAAACTTGTAACTACAAAAACGCAATATGAATTGTGTTGAAATTGTGATTTCATACAAAAAAATCTAATTTGACCGAGTAAATTATGCTGCATTGACAGCTCATACATACAAACACACAGACTCACACATCCCCCTCATCATCATCATCAGCCTATTAATGTCCCTACTGCTGGGGTACAGGCCTTCCCTATGGATGGAATAGGGAGATTGGGCCATGACGCGGGCCCAGTGCGAATTTGGTGGGTGCTAACGACTGCAGATGCAGCCGGGACCAACGGCTTAACATGCCTTCCGAAGCACGGAGGAGCTCGAGATAGTATTTTTGGGCGACCACTGCGAAAGTTGCTTAAGTTCAACGATCACAACCGAACGCGCTAACCACTTGCACCATAGAGCTCCTCAACACATCCCCCTATAATGCAGTAAATATTTAGATAAGCATAGAATAGATTTTCAAATAGGTTGAAAATGTTTCTTACTAGATTAAACCGAACTTGCTTTATACTGCCTAGTGAAACTTTCCAAATAGAATTTCCGAGAAAACCCGTAAAAGAAATTTGTCGGAACACTCGGTTAAAAAGTTCATTAATTAAACGAGTATCGGATAAGTTGCTAAATGGGTTGAGCGGCCTACTTCAAGTCTTCAGTGTAACAAATAATTTGTTAATAACTCGTGTTAAAGTTGTTCTCGTAATATTCACGAGTTCACGAGTTCGTATTATTATTCAAGGTTTCAACTACTCAAGAGGTCCTGGATTTGAATCCCGGTAGGGGCAGATGTTTGTGTAATGAATCGAGCATTTTTACTCCAGTCATGGATGTTTAATATGTATTTCTATATAAATATACTTATATATGTATCAGTATAGGTATTCTATCCGTTACCCTAGTATCCCATAACACAAGCCTAGTGCTTACTTTGGGGCTAGGCTAATTGGTAAGAGTGTTGGAAATATAATTACCTTTACTTATGTTAATTTTTAACTTCCTTCTAACCGAGTGTTCCCGTTTATATAATATATTTATTTAACATTCTGATACAGTCCAAGCGAAATTAACAAAAAGCAAACTACATACAATACGCTACGAAACAACTGACGATTGTGACGAAAAAATCTTATTACACTATTTTTCGCCTAGCCCCCTTCCTCCAAGTCCGTACCGTCCCAAAAGGAACTTCGTTGAAAAAGCTCAGAAGATAATGTTCATTCAAATAAAGCATATAAATCCGTAAATGGTTTTCTTTAAAATAAGTAGTAATAAAACTAAGGAAATAAGAATTGTATGTTATTAACGAATAATAAAGATATTACAATAATATACCCTATACTAATAGTTATTTATTATACAAGAGTGGAAAGTTCCTTTTTAACCGCGTGCTCGATTTGGATGACCGAGCAAGCGAAGGATTCTAAAGTTGAATCACGAGCGCAGCGAGTGATTCTAAATTAGAATCCTGAGCGTCAGCGAGGGAAACAAACGAGCACAAGGTGAAAAATCTTTCCACTCGAGTGCAATACGTAACTTTTCATCCCACCTCAGCGAGGAAATGACAAAATGAAAAAGAAAACAATTTATAATGACAAAATATTTAAGCAATAAAACGTGAAAAACTAGAATGGCGCGAAGCACGCAAA